GCAGAAGCTGCAGCAAGTTATCCAGAAGATCTGCCTAAGATAATTAATGAAGATGGCTACCCTAAACAACAGACTTTCAATGCAGATAACACAAATAGCCTTTTATTGGAAGAAGATGCCATCCGGGGCTTCCATAGCTAGGGAAGAGAAGTCAATGTCTGACTTCAAAGTTTCTAAGGTCAAACTGGCTCTCTTGTTAGGCGCTAATGTAGTTTGTAACTTTAAGTTGAATGGAATGTTCACTTACTATTTTGAAAACCTAGTGCCCTTAAAAAATATGTAAGCATACTCTGTTTGTGCTCTGTAAACGAAACAACAAAGCCCAGATGACAGCACATTTGTGTATAGCATGGGTTAATGAATAGTATAAGCCTACTACTAAGACCTACTATTCAGAAAAACACTTTTAAAATATCACTGTTCTTTTTTTTGAAAATAGTAATACATTTAATTTATTTCCAATCTATATTTCTTTTACTTTCTTTTTTTAAAATTTATTTATTATACTTTAAGTTCTGGGGTACATGTGCACAACGTGCAGGTTTGTTACATAGGTACACACGTGCCATGTGATTTGCTGCATCCATCACCCCATCATCTACATTAGGCATTTCTCCTAATGCTATCCCTCCCCAATACCCCCACCCCCTGCTGTCCCTCCCCTAGCCCCCAATCTCCCAACAGTTTCCGATGTGTGATGTTCTTCTTCCTGTGTCCATGTGTTCTCATTGTTCAACTACCACTTATGAGTGAGAACATGCAGTGTTTGGTTTTCTGTTCTTGTGCCAGCTTGCTGAGAATGATGGTTTCCAGATTCATCCATGCCCCTGCAAAGGACATGTCATCCTTTTTTTATGGCTGCATAGATACACCTGATAATTCTTGAGTTCCGAGGGACATATACAATGTGATTAACATTGTTTTCATATATGCTAACGCAACACCCATTCTGTAGCCCATAGATGAAGGAATAATTTCAACTTACAATTATTATTATTTAAGAGATACATTTTGTAAGGCTATAATTGCCATAGATAATGATTCATCTGACAGATCTCGGCAAAGTTAATTGAAAATCTTCTGAAAAAAAATTACTATTCTAAATGTCATTAAGAACATTCATGATTCATGGGAGGATGTCAAAATGTCAATGTTAACTGGAATTGGGGAAAAAGTTGATTCCAGCCCCCATAGATGACTTTAAGGGACTCAAGACATCAACAGAGGAGATGTGGTGGCAATAGTAAGATAACTAAAATTGGAAGCGGAGCCTGAAGATGGGATTGAATTGCTGTTATCTTGTGAAACAAGTTGAATGGATGAGGAGTTGCTTCACAGGGATGAGCAAAAAAATGGTTCCTTGAGATGGAATCTATTCCTGGTGAAGATGTTGTGAACATTGTTGACATGACAACAAATAATTTAGAATATTTATCAACTTAATTGATAAAGCAGTGATAGGATTTGAGAGGACTAACTCCAATTTTGAAAGAACTTGGTAGAATGAGATCAAATAGCATCTCATGGTGCAGATGAATCTTCTGTGAAAGGAAGAGTCAATCAATGCATCAAACTTCACCATCATCTTATGTTAAGAAATTGCCAACAGCCACCTTAACTTCAGTGACTATCAATATGATCAGTCAGCAGCTATCAACATTGAGGCAAAACTCTACACCAGCACAAAGATTACAACTTGCCGAAGGCTCAGATGATCATTAGCATTATTCAGCAATAAAATATTTTTAAATTAAGGCATGTAATTTTACTTTTAGACATAATGCTATTGCACACTTACTAGACTTACACTACAGAATAGTGTAAGCGTAAGTTCTACACGTATTAGGAAACCAAAACTTTGTGTGACTTACTTTATTGCAACATTTAATTTATTGCAGATGTCTGGAACCAAATCTGCAATATCTTTGAAGTATACCTGTGTGAGTGTGTGTGTGTGTGTGTGAACTTATTTAAAATATCAAAAGCTATTCATTAACAAAAGAACCCAAGAATCCCCACTAAGAAAAAAGTGCTTAAAATATTCTTGGTTCCTAAAGCTTTGTTTACATTTCTAATGTGAGTTTTCTACTTTTCTTGTGTGCCAAGGAAACGAGAGCTAACTGGGACAGGTATCAGGAAAGTCCACGGAGCCTTCCAGAATGAGGAGGACAAAAGAAAGCTGGCAGGACGGTGCTTGCAAAGGTGTGAGTGTGCAGCATCTGTGGCTTTTTCTGACCTCTTCTCACCCCTGCCCCTCAACACCCATCTTCAAATTCAGGTCAGATGATTGAGACAGGCCTCTGCTGATTCCTAACAGCTGCATGAATTGCTTTTACTTTCAATTTCAGTTTTACTGCCCCATCCCATTTATGGAAATGACTAGCTTCCTCAGCTCCTTTTCCCCTTTATAAAGGAGGGACACAAAAGAAAGTAGAAGGAAGAAAGAGTGCCAGGAGATTGTGAAAGGCAACTGAAAACGGAAAACTTGGACCTGTGGTGCTGTAGAGCAGGTATGTTTGCTTTCCTTTGCATGCAACTTAGTCCAACTCAAGCATCCGGGCACGCTGCATCGCCCTGGATGTACTGCTCCCTGAACATCAACTCAGGACAGCAGTGAATGGCCTGGAAAGAGCCCTGGTGGGCGCCTGCCTGGCTACCTCTATCGGGCCCTGTGGCAGACTCCGAAATGCAGAAAACAAGGAGCTTCCAGGCAATTATAATCTGAAGGGAGAGTTTCTTTTCTTTCTTTTCTACCTTTCTAATGGTCACACTTAGGAAAGGTTCAGAGTAAGAGCTCTATAACTATGTAGAAATAGAATTTAGTCCCTACATTGCTGGTCTTTATTACTTAAAAATAATTACATAGTCCAAACTCGTGTATGTGCTTGTGTGTGTGTGTGTGTGTGTGTGTGTGTGCGTGCGCGCATGCACGCGTACTGTTTGTTCATCATAGAAAAATCAGAGTCACTTGTAGCTCTTGCTAAACAGATAGATACTTAGGCCTGGAAATCTGGGTTCGAACAATCCCTTCAGGTGATTCTTAACGTATGTCAGAGTTTGAAAACCAGTCCTGAATAGAATTGAACAGCTGTATTTCATTTAATAGAATTTAAAAGTTCTCTGGTTTCCTCACAGCTAAGAAATCATAGAGCTGGTTTATATAAAGTTGTTTACAGCCACATCTTCCTACAGCTTCCTTTATTGTTCACTTCCAAGAAGGGACTGTACAGTTGCAGTCACTGCAACGTGACGAACACATCACACATCACATTCCGATGCATTTCCTTGTAGAAGTCAGGGCCTCGGGCTTGATCTCCGTTTTCCTCACTCCCCTCCGTGAAGAATCAGACAAGAGCAGGTTGTACAGCAACAGTGTGCTTGACCTTTACTGTTTCACTCTGGTGAAAAATTTATTTGTAGTTTTTGTTTCTTAGTAATTTACAGTTTGCATATTTTGTTGAGCTATATAATCTAATGGACCAATTATTATTATATAGCTTAACCTCCATCTAACTCAACTTTTCCTGAAATGCTATTTTGTGCTGCATGCCATGTTAAGATATAAGCTTGTAATGTCTCATTTTATTATCGAAACACCCTCCGGGTTGGATGTATAATTTAACTCACAGACCCCTTTAATTAACAGGCTCAGCTAAGTGATAGGCCTTGGTTGAGGCCACATACGTAGTGAATGATAGAACTGGTATTTTTTATGGCATCAGATGCATCTTGAAATTTGACATATAAATACAAAAGTGAGTATTTGAGACATTTGAAGACAATATTATGTTTACATATTCTGATTATAAAAAAATAAATATCATAGAAAACAATTTTAATTTTATGACAATAAAAGGTACACCAGGAGATCCATAGAACAATTGTACTTTCAATACTAAATTTATGGAATTAAACTTCACCTTAAAAAAAAATTACAATAAAATCCCATATGCCTTTCACCTTGATTCACCCAACAGTGACAGTGACATTATCTCTCAAAAGGAAATCTAACTTATCTATATGTAGTCTAGAGAGATAAATCTCTCTCTTGATATATCTCTAATTTATCTCTATATAATATGCAGTGTTATATGTATTGTTGTTCTAATTTTTTAAAAATTCTCATTTGTGGGAGTAACTCTCGCCGAGAACCTGACCCTTCTAGGCTAAGTCTTTAAGCCTGTACTTTAATTCTTTAGATTCTAGACATTCTCCTACTTCCCTTTTGAAAAAGATAGGCTGTATTCTCTAAAATTTTCTCATCCCACATGGATTCTTCCCCTTCTCCCTCCAATTTCCATCACTTTTCTAAACCTGTAGATAAAAAATGAGCACATAAAGTCACATTGATAAAGAACATGTTTTAGTGTATGATCATCATTAAAAAGTTACTACTGCAGGTTACTTATCAAAGAACTTGTAGGATAACCACTGTCTTTGTCAGTTTATCAAAGCTTTCATATTTACATTTTTGTTTTGTGGTGAAATATGCATAATGAAATTTATTATTTTAACAATTTTAAGAGTATACTTCAGTGACACTAATATGTTTGCATTGTTGTGCAGCCATCTCCAGAATCTATCCAATATTATAAACTGAACCTCTTTACCTTTAAACAATGATTCTTCCTTCCCTCTTCCCTCAGCCCATGGTAAGTAATTATGCTTCTACTTTCCATCTCAATGTATTTGACTATTCTAGTACGTCATACAAGTGGAATCATTTAACATTTGTTCTTTTGTGTCTGGCTTATTTCACTTGGCATAATGTCTTCAAGATTGGTCTGTGTTGTAGCATGTGTCATAATTTCAGACACTTTCATGATTGAATAATATTCCATTGTAGGTATTTACTACATTTTGTTGATACCATCTCTTGATGGACATAAGGGTTGTTTCATCTTTTGGCTATTATAATGCTTCCATAAACATCGGTGTTTGAGTCCCTGCTTTCAGTTTTTTTTTTTGTTTTTTTTTTTTTTGGTGTATATACACAGAAATGAAATATTTTGATGTTAATTCTATGTTTCTTTTTTTTAGGAACCACCATACTTTTATTCACAGTGGCAGTATCATTCATATTTCTACTAGCAATACACAAAGGTCCCAGTTTTTCCACATCCCAGCTAATACTTGTTTTCTGCTTTATTTATTTTTTGAAAATAATAGTTATCTTAATGGGTGGGTGTGGAGTACTACCTCACTGTAGTTTTGCTTTACATTTCCCCAGTGATAACTGATGTTGCACATGTTTTCAGATGCATATTATGGTCATTTATAGGTCCTCTTTGGAGAAATATTCATCCCAGGGCATTTTCAATTGAAACTTTGTCACTGTTGAGTTGTAGGAGTTCTTTATGTAGTCTCTCAGATATGTGATTTGCAAATATTTTCTCCCATTCTGTGGATTTCCTTTTTACTATGTTGACTGTGCTCCTTGATGCACAAAAGTTTTTACTTTTGATTAAGTGTGGTGTATCTATTTTTTTCAGTTTTCTGTGGTTTTGATATCACACACAAGAAATCATTGATACTGGAAATCCAAGTTAGGCAGAACATATACCAGAAAAGATAGCCCCTGGTCAGAATATCGGGTCATAAATAAAGTCTGTTCTACTCCCTCCAATTCAGGGAAGGGAAGTGGAAACTGAACTGCCACCTCCTCCAGACCAAGACCATGTTTTTGAGGCAAATGGGTAGGGAAAGGACAAGCAAAACACTATGGAATCTCTTACCATTTTGAATGTGCCTTATTTTTTTTCTACTGGATGTTTGCTTGGTTGCTGTAGACCTTTGACTATTTTCTAGAGCTTCTATAAGATAATTTTAGCCAGTTTTTCCATTTTTAAATGTCTCCTAAGAGAGAAGGACTTAGAACTTCATAGTGTGCCATTTTGCGCAATTGTCTAGATTTGTAATCCTGGCTCTATGATTTATGCACTCAGCCTTTGTGAGACTGATTTATCTCATTTACATATATATGGGTACTATAATCTCTAACTTGCAGGTTCTTATAAGCGTCAGTGAGATCAGATATTTAAGGCAGGTATCACAGGTCTTGGAATACTGTCAGCCCCCTATTATGATAACAATTTCTTGAATTTTATTTTTACTATTGAAGAAAAATGATGGAGATGATAAGATACTATGCTTCATCACTAACACCATTACGGATTTGGGGGAATGATGGAGGAAGCCTTTTGTAGTTCACTACTGCTAGGTTACATGTTGTCTCATAGAAACGCAAAAGTCTCATCAATCCTAAATTTATGGGTGCTTGGATAACTGAGGCAGAGAATGTAACCTTATTTCTGTTAGGAGGCTCTTCTAGGTTGGCAGTTGCCATGGAATCTGGACCCAACATGTTGGCTCCCATTTGCCTGGTGGAAAACAACAATGAACAGCTGTCAGTGAACCAGCAAGCTATACAGATTCTTGACCAGATTTCTCAGCCAGTGGTGGTGGTGGCCATTGTTGGACTGTACCGTACAGGCAAATCCTACTTGATGAATCGTTTGGCAGGACAGAATCATGGTGAGTGGTATCCTGGGACACAGGTCAATTGCTTGATTCCAGCATTTTAATGCTCTAACCTAGGCATGTAAAGGGGAAACCCAATTCCTTTCAATAAACGAAACTTCTCATTCTAATTCTCACCGCCAAGTCACTACCTTACTGTAACCTGTCCCCATATTCTTTACTTTAAGGAAAATATCCTCTACTAGTACTCAGAATCCTACCATGTCTTGTGTAATCAAGTCCTGGGCTCCTGTAATTGTGTTGCCTTTTTCTTATAACATTTGCTTTCTTTATGTAATGTTCCCATCAACATACAAAGATGTTTGAACCTGTGTCATCTTAAAAACCAAACCCTTCCTGAATTTCATATCCCATTGTGGCCAGCAACTCCTGTTTGTGTGTGTGTGTGTGTGTGTGTGTGTGTGTGTGTGTGTGTGTGTGTGTTTAATTTTTGTCTTTAATCACTTCTCAGTGCAAAAACATTCTCTCAATCTCCTTTTTTGAGTGTTTTCCTTCTCGCGTCTTTCTTCAACTCACTCCTCTCTGACTTTGAACCCAACTGCTTTTTTTTTTTTTTTTTTTTTTTTTTGCACTTTAGGTTCCGAGGTACATGTGCAAAACATGCAGGATTGTTGCATAGGTGCATACATGGCAATGTGGTTTGCTGTCTCCATCCCCCACCTCACCTATATCTGGCATTTCACCTCCTGTTATCCCTCCCCAACCTCATTACTTTCCTCTGTCCATCCCCTATTCCCCCTCTAAAACAGACCCCAGAGTGTCATGCTCCCCTCCCTGTGTCCATGAGTTCTCATTGTTCAACACCTGCCTATGAGTGAGAACATGTAGTGTTAGCTTTTCTGTTCTTGTGTCAGTTTGCTGAGAATGATGGTTTCCAGATTCATCTATGTCTCTACAAAGGACACAAACTCATTGTTTTTTATGGCTGCATAGTATTCCATGGTGTATATGTGCCACATTTTTCTTATCCAGTCTATCATCGATGGGGATTTGGGTTGGTTCCAGGTCTTTGCTATTGTAAGCAGTGCTGTAGTGAACGTATGTGTGCATGTGTCTTTATAATAGAATGATTTCTTATCCTTTGGATATATACCCAGTAATGAGATTGCTGGGTCAAATGAAATTTCTATTTCTAGGTCCTTGAGGAATTGCCACACTGTCTTCCACAATGGTTGAACTAATTTATAATCCCACCAGCATTGTAAAAGTGTTCCTATTTCTCTACATCCTTTGCAGCATCTGTTGTCTCCAGATTTTTTAATGATCATCATTCTAACTGGCATGAGATGGTATCTCAATGTGGTTTTGATTTGCATTTCTCTAATGACCAGTGATGATGAGCATGTTTTCATTGTTTGTTGGCCTCATAAATGTCTTCTTTTGAAAAGTGTCTGTACATGTCCTTTCCCACTTTTGAATGGGTTTGTTCATTTTTTTTTCTTGTAAATCTGTTTTAGTTCTTTGTAGATTCTGGATATTAGCCCTTTGTCCGATGAATAGATTGCAAACATTTTTTCCCATTCTGTTGGTTGCCGGTTCACTCTAACAATTGTTTCTTTTGCTGTACAGAAGATCTGGAGTTTTATGAGATTCAATTTGTCTATTTTGCCTTTTGCTGCCATTGCTTTTGGTGTTTTAGTCATGAAGTCCTTGCCTATGCCTATGTCCTGAATGGTTTTGCCTAGGTTTTCTTCTAGGGTTTTTATGGTGTTAGGTCTTATGTTTAAGTCTTTAATCTATCTGGAGTTAATTTTAGTGTAAGGTGTAAGGAAAGGGTCCAGCTTCAGCTTTCTGCACATGGTTAGCCAGTTATCCCAACACCATTTATTAAACAGGCACTCCTTTCCCCATTGCTTGTTTTTGTCAGGTTTGTCAAAGATCAGATGGTTGTAGATGTGTGGCATTGCCTCTGAGGCCTCTGTTCTGTTCCCTTGGTCTATATCTTTGTTTTGGTACCAGTACCATGCTGTTTTGATTACTGTTACCTCGTAGTATAGTTTGAAGTCAGGTAGTGTGATACCTCCAGCTTTGTTCCTTTGGCTTAGAATTGTCTTGGCTATGTGGGCTCTCTTTTGGTTCCATATGAAATTTAAGGTGGTTTTTTCCAGTTCGGTGAAGAGGGTCATAGGTAGCTTGATGGGGATAGCATTGAATATATAAATTACTTTGGGCAGTATGGCCATTTTCACAAAATTCAGTCTTCGTAACCATGAGCATGAACTGTTTTTCCATCTGTTTCTGTCCTCTCTTATTTCCTTGAGCAGTGGTTTGGAGTTCTCCTTGAAGAGGTCCTTCATGTCCTTTGTTAGTTGTATTCCTAGGTATTTTATTCTCTTTGTAGCAGTTGTGAATGGGAGTTCACTCTTGATTTGGTTCTCTGTTTGTCTGTTATTGCTATGTAGGAATACTTGCTATTTCTGCACATTGATTTTGTATCATGAGACTTTGCTGAAGTTGCTTATCAGTTTAAGGAGATTTTGGGCTGAGATGATAGGGTCTTGTAAATGTACAATCATGCCATCTGCAAATAGAGGCAATTTGACTCCCTCCTTTTTTTAATTGAATACCCTTTATTTCTTTTTCTTGCCTGATTGCTCTGGCCAGAACTTCCAGTACTATATTGAATAGGAGTGGTGAGAAAGGGCATCCTTGTCTAGTGCCAGATTTCAAAGGGAAAGCTTCCAGTTTTTGCCCATTCAGTATGACATTGGCTGTGGGTTTGTCGTGAATAGCTTTTATTAATTTGAGATACATTCTGTTGATACCTAGTTTATTGAGAGTTTTTAGCATAAAGAGCTGTTGAATTTTGTTGAAGGCCTTCTCCGCATCTATTGAGATAATGATGTAGTTTTTTTCTTTGGTTCTGTTTATGTGGTGGATTACATTTATAGACTTGCGTATGTTGAACCAGCCTTGCATCCCCTGGTGAAGCCTACTTGATCATGATGGATACTCTTTTTGATGTCCTGTTGCAATCGGTTTGCCAGTATTTTATTCAAGATTTTTGCATTTATTTTCATCATGGATATTGGCCTGAAGTTTTCTTTTTTGTTGAGTCTCTGCCAGATTTTGGTATCAGGATGATGTTGGTCTCATAAAATGATTTGGGAAGGATTCCCACTTTTTGGATTGTTTGGAATAGTTTCAGCAGGAGTGGTACCAGCTCCTCTTTGCATGTCTGGTAGAATTCGTCTGTGAACCCATCTGGACCTGGGCTTTTTTTGGTTGGTTGACTATTAATTGCTGCCTCAACTTCAGCCCTTGTTATTGGTTATTCAGGGTTTTGACTTCTTCCTGGTTTAGGCTTGGGAAGGTGCAAGTTTCCAGGAATTTATACATTTCTTCCAGGTTTAGTGGTTCATGTGCATAGAGTTGTTTGTAGTAATCTCTGATGGCAGTTTGTATATCTGTGGAATCGGTGGTGATCCCCTTTATCATTTTTAATGCATCTATTTGATTCTTCTCCTCTCTTTTTTTTTTTTATTAATCTGGCTAGTGGCCTGTCTATTTTGTTGATCTTTTCGAAAAACCAGCTCCTGGATTTATTGATTTTTTTGAAGGCTTTTTTGTGTCTCTATCGCCTTCAGTTCTGCTCTGATCTTAGTTATTTCTTGTCTTAGGCTGGCTTTTGAGTTTTTTCGATCTTGCTCCTCCAGCTCTTTCAATTTTGACAATAGGGTGTTGATTTTAGATCTTTCCTTGATTCTCATATGGGCATTTATTGCTATAAATTTCCCTCTAGTCACTGCTTTAAATGTCTCCCAAAGATTCTGGTACATTGTGTCTTCATTCTCATTGGTTTCAAAGAACATCTTTATTTCTGCCTTTATTTCATTGTTTATCCAGTCAACATTCAAGAGCCAGTTGTTCAGTTTCCATGAAGTTGTGTGGTTCTGAGTTAGTTTCTTAATCCCAAGTTCTAATTTGATTGCACTGTGGTCTGAGAGACTGTTTGTTATGATTTCTGTTATTTTGCATTTGCTGAGGAGTGATTTACTTCCAATTATGTGGTCAGTTTTAGAATAGATATGATGTGGTGCTGAGAAGAATGTATATTCTGTGAATTTGGGGTGGATGGTTCTGTACATGTGTATTAGGTTGCTTGGTCCAGATCTGAGTTCGAATCCTGGATATCTTTGTTAAATTTCTGTCTCATTGCTAATATTGACAGTGGAGTGTTAAAGTCTCCCATTATTATTATGTGGGAGTCTAAGTTTCTTTGTAGGTCGTTAAGAACTTGCTTTATGTATCTGGGTGCTCTGGTATTGGATGCGTATATATTTAGGATAGTTAGCTCTTCTTGTTGCATTGATCCTTTTACCATTATGTAGTGCCCTTCACTGTCTCTTTTGATCTTTGTTGGTTTAAAGTCTATTTTATCAGAGACTAGGATTGCAACTCCTGCTTTTTTTTTTTTTTTTTTTTTTTTTTTTTTTTTTTTTTGAGACCAAGTTTCGCTCTTGTTACCCAGGCTGGAGTGGAATGGCGCGATCTTGGCTCACCGCAACCTCCGCCTCCTGGGTTCAGGCAATTCTCCTGCTTCAGCCTCCTGAGTAGCTGGGATTACAGGCACGTGCCACCATGCCCAGCTAATTTTTTGTATTTTTAGTAGAGACGGGGTTTCACCATATTGGCCAAGATGGTCTCAATCTCTTGACCTTGTGATCCACCCACCTCGGCCTCCCAAAGTGCTGGGATTACAGGCATGAGCCACCGTGCCCAGCATTTGCTCTCCTTTTGTTTGGTAAATCTTCCTCCATCCCTTTATTTTGAGCCTATATGTATCCTTTCACATGGAATGGGTTTCCTGGATACAGCACACTGATGGGTTTTTACTTTTGATCCAATTGCCGGTCTGTGTCTTTGGATTGGGACATTTAGCCCATTTACATTTAAGGTTAATATTGTTATGTGTGAATTTGATCCTGCCGTTCTGATGCTAGCTGGTTGTTTTGCCAATTTGTTGACCCAGTTTCTCCATTGTGTTGATGCTTTTTATCATTTGGTACATTTTTGGAGTGACTGGTACTGGTTATTCCTTTCCATGTTTAGTGTTTCTTTCAGGAGCTCTTGTAAGGCAGGCCTGGTGGTGACGAATCTCTTAGCAATTGCTTGTTTGTATGAAGGTTAGTTTGGCTGGATATGAAATTCTAGGTTGAAAGTTCTTTTCTTTAAGGATGTTGAATATTGGCCCCCACTCACTTCTGGCTTGTAGGGTTACTGCCAAGAGATCTGCTGTGAGTATGATGGGCTTCCCTTTGTCGGTAACCTGACCTTTCTCTCTGGCTCCCCTTAGCACTTTTTCCTTCATTTCAAACCTGGTGAATCTGATGAGTATGTGCCTTGGGGTTGCTCTTCTTGAGGAATATCTTTGTGGAGTTCTCTGTATTTCCTGGACTTGAATATTGGCCTGCCTTGCTAGTTTGGGGAATTTCTCCTGGATAATGTCCTGACGTGTGTTTTCCAGCTTGGATTCATTCTCTCCATCACATGGGGTTCTCTGTATTTCCTAGACTTGAATATTGGCCCGCCTTGCTAGGTTGGGGAAATTCTCCTTGATATCCTGAAGAATGTTTTCCAGCTTGGATTCATTCTCTCCATCACATTCAGGTACAGCTATCAAACATAGATTAGGTCTTTTCACATAATCACATGTTTCCTGGAGACTTTGTTCATTTCCTTTCACTCTTTTTTCTCTATTCTTGCTTTCATATTTTATTTTATTGAGTTGATCTTCAATCTCTGATACCCTTTCTTCTGCTTGGTCAATTCGGCTATTGAAACTTGTGTGTGCTTCGCAGAGTTCTCATGTTGTGTTTTTCAGCTACATCAATTCATTTATATTCCTTTCTAAGCTGTTTATTCTCATTAGCATTTCATCAAACCCCTTTTCAAGAGTCTTAGTTTCTTAACATTGGGGAAGAACATGTTCTTTTATGTCAGAGAAATTTGTTAGAAGTTTGTTCACCTTCTGAAGCCTGTTTCTGTCAATTCATCAGACTCATTCTCCATCCAGCTTTGTTCCTTTGCTGGTGATGAGTTGTGATCCCTTGGAGGAGGAGAGGCATTCTGGTTTTGGGTGTTTTCATCCCTTTTGCACTGGTTTCTTCCCATCTTTGTGGATTTATATACCTGTGGTCTTTGTAGTTCTTGACTTTCAGATGGGGTCCCTGAGTGGATGTCCTTGTTGTTGATGATGAAGTTCTTTCTTTCTGTTTTTTAGTTTTCCTTCTAGCAGTCAGACCCTCTGCTGTAGGACTGCTGGCAGTCCACTCTAGACCCTGCTGGCCTGGGGGTCACCTGCTGCAGCTGCAGAACAGTAAGGGTTGCTACCAGTTTCTTTTTTAGTTATCTTCATCCCAAAAGGATACCCACCAGATGTCAGCCTGAGCTCTCCTTTATGAGTTGACTCTGGATATACGGTGGTTGGGGAGCTGCTTGAGGAGTCAGTCTGTTCCTTATGAGAGCTCAAGTGCTGAGCTGTGAGCTCCAATGTTCTGTTCAGAGCTGCTCGGCAGGTACATTTAAGTCTGTGGCAGCAGAACTCATAACCGCCTTTTTCCCCAGGTGCTCCATCCTGGGAAGGTGGGGTTTTATTTATAAGTTCCTGAAATGCTGCTGCCTTTTTTCAGAACTGCCCTGCCTAGCAAGGAGGTACCCTAGTCACAGGCTGCCCGCAGAGGTGTTGCTGAGCTGTCGTGGGCTCTGCCCAGCTGCTGTGTGAACTTCCTTGTGGTTTTGTTTATAGAGGTATAGTTAGAACTGCCTCAGTAATGGTGGACTGTGTTGGTAATGGCAGACTGCCTTGGTAATGGCAGATGCCCTTCCTCTAACAGAGCTGGAACGTCCCGGGTCCAGCTGCACTTGCTGTGAAGCTCTCAGTCCAGAGTGATTCAGATTGCTGGTCTTTGTTGGGGTGGGACACATCAAGCCAGATCACTTGGCTCCCTGTTTTTCAGTTGAATGGGCAGCTATGTTTCTCAGGTGTTCCAGGTGCCAGTTGAAACGGCCGCCCAGATTTGTGTGAGTTTTTGTGTGGAGACCTGCTGTGCTGGCTGAAACAGCTGTGCTGAAAACTCGTGTCACTTTTCAGCCCAGGAATCTCCTGGTCTGTGGGCAGTAATAACTCATTTGGAAAGGCAGTGTTCACTCATCCTCTGTGTTGTTCTCACTGGGAACTGCACTCCAGAGCTGTTCCTATTTGGCCATCTTGAATCCGCTTCCAAACCATATCCATACCTCACCACTTTTTAAGATGTTTTTGCTTTCAGTGACCTCAATTTTGTCTGATTCATGGATTCTTCATCTCCATTTTGAGCCCTTGCTTGGCATCATTATCCCATTTAATGTCTCTTGCTTTATGAAATAGATGACTCACAGAAAGAGCCATTCTCTAGGAAATACAGGAAGTACCATTTTGTATGCTGGGATAGTTACAATCCACCAGTCTGACGCTGTGGCCCCAGGGCTACTTAGCTGCTCTGCTGTCTCTGTGCTTAGCTTCCTCCTCTTCCCTGCAGGCTTCCCTTTGGGATCCACGGTGCAGTCTGAAACCAAGGGCATCTGGATGTGGTGTGTGCCCCACCCCTTCAAGCGAAACCACACCCTGGTCCTTCTGGACACGGAGGGTCTGGGTGATGTGGAAAAGGTAAGGCAAATAGTCACAGACACATTCTTTTCTTTCTGGATTTTCTCCTGAACTCTTCATGAACCTTGTAGTTTAACTGCTGTGATCTATTTCTGAAATCTAGAAGTCCAACTATAGTGAGTGAGGCAAACTTTGGCCTGTTTAAATAGACTTTTCTATAAGATTAGATATCATGGTATTGTTGCGGGAAATCAGGAAACTGGATGAGGTTACAGGAGGATTTATTTAAGGTGTACAACAGCTCAGTGGATTCACATCCAAAGGACTGAGCCCTGGATAAACTAAGTGAGGGCTTTTTATGCATCTCAGGGCGCAAAAAGAAGCCAGTTTACAGAAGCAAGAAAAAAAGCAGTCAATTCAGGGACAGGCTTACTCAGGACTCTTGGTATGTGGGCCCGGTGGCCTTATCTCAAATCCAGGCTGGTGCAGACCAGTCCTGCAGGGCTCTGCACTAACCTCCTTCTTTGATGTTTGCAGCTCTATCCTGTTTGGACATTTCTCATGGCCTTCACTGTGTTATTTAGATACAAAACAGTCAAACAATACATGGGAAACAGATATCTATAAATTCTTAGGTTTACTCATATTACAAGGGCAAGGATTAGGGAGAAAATTTATGTTTTCCTCCAGACAGTGAGGGAGTGTTGGGAAAGTTCTCAGAGCACATTCTCTTGAGCTCTGGCTTCTAAGATACTTTATCAAGGTTCCTCCCAGAGCCTGAGGCAGTTGACTGTCTCTAATCCAACACAGAGAGCCTATCTCTCTCCTTTATATGATTTTATTTTCTTTAATTTCTGCCTCAGTATATTAGGTAAAACATTCTTTTATTTCTTGGCACTGTGGTGAATGATTTGATTCAATTTGATAAAAACTTGTTAAGCAGCTCAGTTCCAGGCTGCTGGGCTAAGTAGCATAGATATTGGTAAAGAAAGTAAAGGCCCTCAGTATCATAGAGGAGACCAGATACATGCACTCAAATTTGATGTTGTGTGACTGGGAAAGAAGCAAGTTTTCGAGACGGAGGAGTTTGAACTGCAATGCAATCCCTGCCCTCTGTCAATTCCACAAGGAGGTCTGTAGCTGGAATGGCTTCTTTGAGTTTTCCTGTTTTGGAACAAAGGTGTCAGACCTTCATCCCTCATGCTGATTACTCATTGGAAGTCTCACCTGTAAGGCTTTCCCATTAAGGGAGCTGACACCTGTGATTCAGGCAGCACATCACAGCTTTCACCATGTGCAGTTGCTTGTAAGAATGCCTTGATAGGAAAGAGGAGAAGTATTGACCCAATCCCAGGTGATGAGGAAGGATGCATTTGAGGGTCAAAATTAAGAGAGTTAGGTTTATATATTTTATATGGTGAAACTAATCAACTACCCACATAGCATTCTGGAAGGCTTTGAGACAATTCCAACTGTACTAGTTCTATGAAAGTATGTGTTTTCCCCACAGCAAACATTTTAAGATGAATATTTGGTATTTAGCTTTCTATTAATATATAAAATGAACAATTTGTAACTTTTCTTAGTTTGAAACTTATTTGAAAATAGTTTCTAAATTTCTCTAGTCTTTGTTTGTGTCCAAACAGGAGTTCTGTTTATTTTTCAGCTTTAGTGAGGTAAAATTGACAAGTAAAATTGTATATATTTAATGTGTGCAGCTTGATGTTTTAATATGTGTATACGTTGTGAAATGATCACCAAAATTAAGCCAATAATATAGTCAACACCTCACATAGGTACGGTTTTTGTTTTTTCCATTCTCTTTTTTTTTGGAGGTGAGGGTGAGAACACTTAAGATATATACTCTTAGCAAAATTAGTATAATATTGTTAATTATAGTCACTCTGCTATACAGTAGATCTCAAGAGTTTACCTTGCATAACTGAATTTTTGTGCTCTTTAACCAACATCTCTACATTTCTTCCACCTCCAGGCCCTGGCAATCACACTGTTCTACTCTCTGATTCATGATTTGTGCATCTTTTTACATATCTGCTTTTCATTTGTAGGTTTTTTGCTAAGAAATGTATATTCAGGTCTTTGCTAATTTTCAATGAGATTATTTATTTTTTGTTATTGAGTTGGCATGAGTTCTTTATATAGTTTGGCTATTAACCCTTTATCAAATTTATTGTTTACAAATATTTTCCTCCCATTCTGTAGTTAGCATTTTCACTAAATTGATGATTTTCCTTTGCTGTGCTGAAACTTTTTAGTTTGATGAAGTCCTGCTTCCCTAAATTTTGCTTTTTTTCCCTGTGCTTTTGATGTCATATCCAAAAACATCATTCCCCAAACCAATGCCAAGAAGCTTTTTCTCTATATTTTCTTGGTAGTTTTATGGTTTTATATCTTTTCCCCAACTACTATCTAACTAAAATTTTATATATTTGACCAGCATCTCCCAGCCTTCTCTTTCCTCTCCCCACTATTCCCTGGTAACAACCATTCAACTTTCTACTACTATGAGCTCAGTTTTTCAGATTCCACATATAAGTGAGGTCATGTAGTATTTGTCTTTCAGTATCTGGCTTATTTCACTTAGCTTAATGTCCTCCAAGTTCATCCAAGTTATTGCAAATGATAGGCTTTCCTTCTTTTTAAAGACTAAATCATTTTGTTATGTTTAGATGCCACATTTAAAAAAATTCATTCATGTGTTGATGGAAACTTAAGTTGACTCCATGCCTTAGCTATTGTGAGTAACACTGCAATAAATACAGAAGTGTAGATGTCTCAACATCCTCATTTCATTTTCCTTGGATAGATACACAGTATTGGGATTTCTGGATCCAGTTTCTGGTTTTACATTCAAGTCGCTAATCCATTTTCAGTTGTTTTTATATATGATGTGCAATAGGATCAAATTTCACTCTTCTGCATGCATGTAGATACCCAGTGTTCCCAGTACCATTTGTTGAAGAGACAGTCTTTTCCCATTCTGTGTCCTTGGTACCCTTATCAAAGGTGAACTGACTATTAATGCAGAGGTTTATTTCTGGGTTCTCCATTGGTCTGTATACCTGTTTTTATCCAAGCACCATACTATTTTGGTAACTGTAGCTTTGCAACATGTTTTGAAATCAGGAAGTGTGATACCTTTTTCAAGATTGCTTTGATTACTCGGGGTATTTTATGGTTCCATGTTAATTTTAGAATTGCTTTATATGTATGTGTGTGTGTGTGTGTATATATATATATATATATATATATATATATATATATATATTTTTTTTTTTTTTTTTTGAGACAGAGTTTTGCTCTTGTTACCCAGGCTGGAGTGCAATGGCGCAATTTTGGCTCACCACAACCTCCGCCTCCTGGGTTCAGGCAATTCTCCTGCCTCAGCCTCCTGAGTAGCTGGGATTACAGGCATGCACCACCATGCCCAGCTAATTTTTTGTATTTTTAATAGAGACGGGGTTTCACCATGTTGACCAGGATGGTCTCGATCTTTTGACCTTGTGACCCACCTGCCTCGGCCTCCCAAAGTGCTGGGATTACAGACATGAGCCACCGTGCCCGGCCCTTTTATATTTCTTAAAGAATGTCATATATGTGTACCTATGCAACAATCTTGCATGTTCTTCACATGTACCCCAAAACCTAAAATGCAATAAAGAAAAAAAGGTAAAAAAAAAAAAAAAGAAGAATGTCACTGGGGCCTGGACATGGTGGTTTATGCCTGTAGTCCTAGCACTTTGGGAATTTGAGGCAGGGAGATCACTTGAGGCCAGAAGTTCAAGACTAACTTGGGCAACATAGTGAAGCCCTATTTCTATAAACAAACAAATAAATAAATAATATATCATTGTAATTTTTATAATTACTGTAAAGCCATATATCAGTGATATACTTCTGTCTAAATAGTTTATTGTTTGTCTTGAGTTCCACATCCAAGAAGAATTCTGATTACTTTTTAAAAATTAGGGTTTGGAAGAAAAAGGAAATGAATAGTATTTTCTACCTCTAGACTCCCATAGAATCTTCTGGAACCATGTAAAAATTTCTACATCGCAGTTTTTACATTTGCTCTAGGAACCAGCTATATACACCGTTTGGAGTAGAAATAACTTCTGGATTATTCTATAATTTAGAACACTATAATTTATATAAACAAGTTAACCTTGCCCTGCCCTTCATCAACTCTGTACCTGAGCTCACTATCCAATCTTGAGTACTTATCCTTTGCTCAAACTCTATGCTTATTGCAAAGACCCCTGCAGTCTATAATTTCTAGTTTTGTTTCTCTGAGTCTTTCTACATGCAGAATCACTTTCATTTCTTCAAATCCACATTCTACCAATTCATAATCAGCTCATGACTTCCAGGAAACTTTCATAATATCACACACACTTTTTCCAACTTTAATTGCACTAATCTTCCTTGATAGACATATTTTTAAATTTAATATTATAGCTATATATTCCACTCATATACATTACTAAGATGTAATCTTTTTATAAATATTGTTATTTTTATTGAATTTATTGTTTTGAATGTTTGTCATTGCTTTGAAACAGCCATCTTGAGAGTAACAAGTGTGATTATTAAATTTGTTTTTCTAAACATAGGAACAGTAGGAAACGTTTGCAGTGCCTATAAATATTTGTTGAATTTAATTAGATATAATTAGAATCCCAGCTATGTCTACTGTGGTATATTTTGTATGGCTCATAGCCCACAAATATGTGTAGCCTGAAGAAGTGCTGATACCCATCGTGAATACCCAAGTTAGAAGCAGATGCAGTACTCATTTTTCTGTACGTACAATTTCATGCAATTGAGGAAAAAGAAAACTCTTTAATTATTAGAACCCTTTTACATATAAAGAAATTGTGATGAGAATACATATTGTAATTATCAAAGCTATTATTTGCATTTATGTCTATCTTATTTGTACAGCATGTACGTTAGCTGAAATCATAAAAGACAGACTCATAAACTAAATGTCTCCATGAATTTCTAAAGACTGTACTCCTAAGTCCTTTAATGTGCTTTTTAGGGTGACCCTAAGAATGACTCCTGGATTTTTGCTCTGGCCATTCTCCTGTGCAGCACTTTTGTGTATAACAGCATGAGCACCATCAATCACCAGGCCCTGGAGCAGCTGCAGTATCCTTCCAGGAAATGAACCACCATGTTTTGTTTGACTTTATGGGAATAAAGATCAAGTCATTTCCTCCTTTCCTTTCATTTAGTTACCATTGGTGCATCATAGGAGGTACAGAAGAAAAGAAAGTGTTTATAACATTTTTATAAAGGAAATGTGGCAATTGTGGACAGGGGGTTTCTTTTCCTTAACCAAGTCCTAGTTATGTGACAGAGCTCACAGAACTAATTAAGTCGAAGTCATCCCCAAGTTCAGATGAAGCAGAAGATTCCACAGAGTTTGTGAGTTTCTTTCCGGACTTTATTTGGACTGTACGGGATTTCACCCTGGAACTAAAGTTGAATGGTTGCCCTATCACAGCAGATCAGTACCTGGAGAATGCCTTAAAGCTGATTCAAGGTATCAGCACTTGATCTGGTTTGTGGGTGGTCCAGTTGGGTATGGGCTCTGCTAAACACTGTTAGTCATCTCTAGGGTTGCCTTTGTGTTTTAGATTGAGGTCTGTAAATGTGGGCAGTGAGAGGTATGTTGAAAAGCTCTTGGGACTAGAGATGAGTTTAGTTAAGAAAAGTAGAGCCTAAAGTAGAGAGAAATTATTCAAGACAAATGTGTTCTTTATATAATTTGTTCTTTAGCATTCAAATTATAAATGTTCCACAGTGGGTGCTAAGACTTTCTAAGGAACAGTTACTTGTCATCCTTATTTTGCCCTCTGCTTTTCTGTGTATAAGAAAACAATTGACTGAATGATTGTTAGCCATGAAATTACAATGAAATGCCTGCAAATAAACATGTATGTGTATGTTAGTTCGTTTTACAATGCTGTAAAGGAATACCTGAGACTAGGTGTTTTTAAAGCAAAGATGTTCATTTGACTTACAGTTCTGCAGGCTGTACAAGCATGGCACCAGCATCTGCTTCTGGTCAGGACCTCAGGAAGCTTTTACACATGGTGGAAGGAGAAACGGTTCCAGGAATGTCACATGACAAGAGAGGGAGCAAGAGAGAGAGAGAGAGAGAGACAGACAGACAGACAGAGATTAGGTCTCAGACTCTTCTCTCTCTCTCTTTTTTTTCTTTTACCAATTGTATTTTATATTCAGAGACTATATGTACAAGTTATTACCTGAGTAAATTGCATGTTGTGGAGTATGGTGTATAGATTATTTCATCACACAAGTAATGAGCAGAGAACCTGATAGGTAGTTTTTCAATCCTTACCCTTCTCCTACCCTCCACCCTCACATTGTCCCCAGTGTCTTTTGTTCCTCTCTTTGTGACCAGGTACACTCAATGTTTACCTCACACTTTATAAGTGAGAACATGCTGTGTTTGGTTTTCTGTTTCTTTATTAATTCTCTGAGAAGAATTGCCTCCAGCTTCATCTATGTTGAAGTGAAGGACATGATTTCATTCATTTTTTATGGCTATGTAGTATTACATGGTGTATATGTACCAAATTTCCTTTATCCGGTCCACTATTGATGGACATTTAGGTGGATTTCATGTGTTTGCTATTGTGAATAGTGCTGCTATGGACCTACACGTGCATGTGTCTTTACAGTGGAATGATTTCTGTTCCTTAGTTTATACACCCAATAATGGGATTGCTTGGTCAAATGTTAGTTCTGTTTTAAGTTCTTTGAAAAATTGCCAACTTGCTTTCCACAGTGGCTTAAATAATTTACATTCTTACCAGCAGTGTATAAGTATTCCCTTTTCAGTGCAACCTTGCCAGCAACGTTTTTTTTTTGTTTGTTTGTTTTTTGTTTTTAACTTCTTATGAATAGCTATTCAGACTGGTGTGAGATGGTATCTCATTGTGGTTTTGATCTGCATTTTTCTAATGATAAGTGATGTTCAGCATTTTTTTTTTGTATGCTTGTGGGGTGCATGTATGTCTTTTTTGGTAAAGTGTCTGTTTATGTCCTTTGCCCACTTTTAAATGGGATTCTTCATTTTTTGCTTGTTAATTCATTTAAGATCCTTATAAATTCTGGATATTAGATCTTTGGCAGATGTATACTTTACAAATATTATCTTCCATTCTGTGACTTGTCAGTTTACTCTGTGGTAGTTCTTTTGCTCTGCAGAAGCTCTTTAGTTTAATTACATTCCATTTGTCAATTTTTGTTTTTGTTGCAATTCCTCTTGATCATCTTCATTGTAAAATCTTTGTAGGGCCTATGTCCAGAATTTCCGAAATGGTATTTAAGGATTGCTATAGTTTTAGGTTGTACATTTAAGCCTTTAATATATCTTGACTTAATTTTTGGATATGGTATAAGATAGGGATCCAGTTTCACTTTTCTGCATATGGCTAGCCATTTATCCCAGCACCATTTGTTGAACAGGGGATTCCTTTCCTCATTGCTTGCTTGTGGCAGACTTTGCCAAAGATCAGATAGTTGTAATTGTGTGGCTTTATTTCTGGGTTTTCTCACCTATTTTGTTGGCCACTGTGTCTATTTTTGTACTAGTACCACGGTGTTTTGCTTACTGTAGCCTTGTAACCAAAGCAGTATAATTTGAAGTCTTCCGAATTTTCTTACCAAAGTCATAGCAATGTTACAAGTTTGATGTGCAAAGAAGTATTGAACATTTATGTTAAAGGAGTTCTATAAATGTAGAAGACTATAAAGATACAACAAACTCTGTAAAAAACATCTTTAGGTCTCTTATACCAAGACTGTTTTCACTATATTCTCTGTTTTTCTTATCCCTAAGGTAGGAATCCCAGAGTCCAAATGTCCAATTTGCCCAGAGAATGCATCAGGCATTTCTTTCCAAGACGGAAGTGTTTTGTCTTTGACCGGCCAACAAATGATAAAGACCTTCTAGCCAATATTGAGAAGGTGTCAGAAAAGCAACTGGATCCTAAATTCCAGGCGCAAGCAAACATTTTCTGTTCTTACATCTTCATGCATGCAAGGACCAAGACCCTCAAAGAGGGAATCACGATCACTGGGAATCGTGAGTCTCCTTTTTACATTTTAGTAGGGCCTAATGTGTTGAATATGTTGCATAACGTGTTTTTCAGCATTTTTGTTAGATTCTATATAGGACTATGTGTATACAGGTATTCATATTTCGTGAAGAAACATATATATTTTATCTGACTTATTGTAATTTACAAACCCCTCTCTGACATTGTAAATTTTGTTACTGATATCTGTGGATTCCACATATCTAAAATATTCCTCCACTGATAAGAAAATAACTAACTGGGTATAAAACAGATATATCCTTTTTTTCTTTGGGGAAGTCCTGTGTGTTTAGTATTCTTTGAAAAGAGAATACAAAAGATATTTTGGAAGTTTAAAAAAGTCTGGGAATAAATATTAGTCCATATGTCCATGAAAATCCATTGGTAGCTTCAGAATTAGTAATAAATATAATAAGATTTACCCTGCCTTATTATTTACCTGTGTAAAAATCTTCCTTATATTTTCTAAATGAGAAATTATATTTCCTATGTCCTCTAGTATGTTAGATGAAAGTAGATATTTAAATTTTTTAGCACTGTGGTCTGAAGAACTATAATAATGAAAAACCAATAAGAAACTGAAAGTGATAATAGCAGAAGCAGGTAGGAGTGTGTGTGTATGTGTATGGGGTAAGAGGTAGGACATGTGCACGTGTGTGTGTGTGTGTGTGTGCGTGCATGCTTAGAAATGTAATGTCAGAGTCTTGGATCCCATTGAGCTTCAACTCCATATTTATCCTCTGAATTTCCTGGTTTATTCAGGGCTAGGGATTTTGGTGGTGACCTATGTAGACACCATCAACAGCGGAGCAGTGCCTTGTCTGGAGAATGCAGTGACAACTCTGGCCCAGCGGGAGAACTCAGCAGCTGTGCAGAGGGCAGCTGACCATTACAGCCAGCAGATGGCCCAGCGAGTAAGGTTCCCCACAGACACGCTCCAGGAGCTGCTGGACGTGCACACGGCCTGTGAGAGGGAAGCCATTGCAATCTTCATGGAGCACTCCTTCAAGGATGAAAACCAGGAATTCCAGAAGATGCTCGTGGTAATTTGTCTCAGTTATGGCTGTTCATGATCTTTCCCTTTGAAGAATGTCACTTCTAGTTGCCTTTATTGATCTCAAGGCTCATCTCTTACTGAGAAATAACTTACCTTGGATTCTCATGAAGAATAGAGTTTCAAAAGACTACATATCCCTCTTTTATCTCCTCAAGACTTGGGCACTTATCAAAAAAATTTCTGATAACTGAGGTAAAATCAGGACAAACTCCTAAGATCCTCCTTAAGTGAACACTTCTAAGGATTCTAGAGCTGCCCTAGAGGTGACCCACAAGTCACCTCTGAGTGATGCACTTTTTCTAAACACAGTCTACTTTTCCCAGGAACCAACACTTATCTTACCAGACCCTCATTCTAGGGCGTTGTTCAAATTATAGTTCTCCTTATTATATCATTGTATTACTAATGACAAGGAGCACAAGATGCTACAGCTGTAAAAAAGCAGAGATTGTAGAATTCAATCCCATCATGTCACAGATGAGAAACTGAGAAGAACCCATAAACTTACAGAGAGTTTTCATGGTGGTGAATATTTCAAGTTTTGTTTTTCTGATTCAGTCCACATCTACTCCACTAGAATGTTTTTCTCATATAGACTTCAGTTAGATTGCCATCTCTACAGGATTTTGTAGAAATTTTTTTTCCTCTTTTTATTTTTCCTGGTGACATCTCTACATTTCCCTTGCAGAAAATCATAGTGAGTAAGAAGGAAGATTTCTTGAAGCAGAATGAAGAGTCATCTCTTCAGTACTGCCAGGCTAAACTCAATGAGCTCTCAAAGGCCCTAATGGAAAGTATTTCAGCAGGAAGTTTCTCTGTTCCTGGAGGGTACAAGCTCTACATGGACAAAAAGGAAAAGATTGAACAGGACTATTGGCAAGTGCCCAGGAAAGGAGTAAAGGTGAGGAATACGGAAAGCATGGGGAAGCTTATACGATGGAGTAAATGGAGGCTTCAGCACTAGCCATAATGAGAGAGCAGTGGGATAGCGTAACATCTTAGTTTTTGATGTCCACTCTTTATCATTTACTAGAATAGAAATGTTTGTTCCCATTATATATATATAAAAGAAATGTTTATTCCCAAAGAAAGAATAACATTCTTAGAAATCTGGGAGAGATAGAACAAAAATTATTCGTGTGGAAAGGGCTGGCTATTTACAAGGTTAAATTAGAGTGTTTGTGCTCCAATCTGATCAAAATAAGAGAGTGAAATAGACAATTGCATACACAGTAATAACACTTATAGACCTATGAAAATGGGATACATACGTGGTTGTAATAAACATAATAGTAGTAATAATACCATTAACATATTCATCTGTTGAAAGAAATAGACAATTGCATAGAGAGCAATAACGCTTATGGACCTGTGAAAATGGAATGCATAGGTGGTGGTAATAAGCATAGTATTAGTAATAATACAGTTAACTTATATTCAACGGTTGTAACCTCAGGCATACTGTTAAACTATTTTCTTAGACATTTTAATGTAATCTTCCAAATGACTTTAAAAGCATCGTTAATTTGGAAATTTTATAGGTTGGAACTTAGTGCCCAAAGACAATTAAATAACTTGCCTAAAGTTCCAGTTAGCAAGTAACAGGAAAAAGTAACAGCACATATCAGCAGCATTTCACACTGGAAGGCAAATATATAAAAGCATTAAAGATTGTGGGATTGTAGAACTGTACCTAGTTATGAGTGGCTGTAACCAAGAACAGCTACAGGGAGGTAGCACTGGAAGAGGAACTGGAGGGAGACAGGAAGCAGATGAGGAGGGCCTCTGGTCACACTAAGGAGCTTGCATACTTTATAGGGAGCCACTGTAGAATTTGAAACATAAAGAAAAAATTATATGGACATACTTGTTTATGTAACATTAATCTTCAGAACCTAGATTTTCAAGAACTTAGTCTTTTAAAGAAATCTAAGTTTTCGACTTTTTCTTTGTTCCACAGGCAAGAGAGGTCTTCCAGATATTTTTGCAGTCTCAGGCGGCAATAGAGAAATCCATCCTGCAGGCAGATAAAGCCCTTACTGATCGGGAAAAGGAAGCAGCAGGTATGGGGCAGGTCTCAGCTTATAGCAAGATAAGTAGATTCCTGCAATGCTTTCTGACAGATCCAGCAAGAAGACTTTCCCAAAACAAGGAGTTTCTTCTTCTGTGGAACACACACTCTGCTTAATCTTCCAGGGTAGCTGTGGTTATGGTTGTACATCAGCCAGCCAGGCAGGGCCTTTCCCGTCACATTCTGACATGTGTTCTTGATAATGTGAACCCGAGTGAATTCTGTGATTTCCTGTCCCCACTACTTTCAAAGTTGGTTTGATCTCTGAGCTCAGAAGGGTAGAGATGAGTCTTCATCTATTATTTTCTTCTCTTTCTGAAACCTTCATGGGGTAGTGGAGCGGGCCAAGAAGGAGGCAGCTGAGAAGGAACAGGAGCTTTTAAAACAGAAATTACAAGAGCAGCAGCAACAGATGGAGGCTCAAGAGAAGACTCTTAAGGAAAACATAGCCCAACTGAAAGAGAAGCTGGAGAAGGAAAGAGAAAACATACTGAGAGAGCAGAATATGATGTTGGAGCATAAACTGCAGGTAAGTCTGTCCATGCCCTCAGCAGGCCAGATAGTCCTTGCCCAGGTACCTCAGGAAGGGCTGGTGAAGGTTACAGCCGCGTTGTGGAAGGAGGCGCATCACCATTTGCTGCTTGGGAGTTATTAAAAGCCCTGAATCCTTTTAAATTTTTTTAAGATGTCTTTGATTTCTGCTCTATACTTAGATCCTGAAGAATGCAGGTTGACTATGGCCCCTACAAGTCCTTGGAGAATATAAATAGAGTTCAAGTTGCCATTTTGGGAGATTTTAAAAATAATCTCAGGAGGCCTAGTTAAACAGATAATCCACTCACGTGTATTCGATATGAGCAGGAACGGGTTTGCTTTATCAGTAACACAAATTATCAGCTCTACTACCCCTCAAACACCCTGAGGTAGATCCATTCTGATATACAACTCTGAAATTTCCAGACTTATATAGACAAAGAAGGAACAATCTCTAAACATGCTGCAGTTGTTTTCCTGTATAGATAACTTGCTCATGTTAGCACACAGTGTAGGGGAAATTCTTGCATTGTCCATCTGAACGTTCCCTCATAAGAGATTTTAGATCAGCTTATAAATTCCTGTTATTTTTGATATGGGTGACCATGCCACCCAAGTAAGACTGTGAATTTATGCAATCAGACCAATGATTACCTCTCAAATGGCATTCTTAGGGCAGGAATATATAGCATTTGTCCTCATACCTGGGTTAGGACCTTAACAAAATCATAATAGTAGATAGGTATTAATAAAGTTGTAAACTATGCTTCCTCACAATGTCTAGGTCCAAATTCTCCTCTGATAGTTGAGAAATAGTTTTTAGGAGTAAAATTAAGACTGTTCAACAAAATTTTTAAATACAAAATGCAATTCCTAAAAGAATAGGGATTTTAAAAATTTTACTTTGCTCCTTGCATGTTTTTAGGCCCAAAAGGATTTGCTTGAAGAAGGATTTAAGAAGAAATCTGAGGAGATGAATGCAGAGATAAATCAATTAAAAAATAAGATTGATACTACAAAAAGTGGTAATAGACCCTGGATTGTACAAGCCTTGGATAGACTTGGCAATGCAATAGTTTCTTCAGTATTTTCTGAGGATGGTAAATTACTTGATCAGATTGTCAAAGGCATAAGTTCACTATTTAAAAAGAATTCTAAATAAAATATTGTAGATTGTGGATACATACTTTGACATATTTTTGGTCTGTATGTTTTCCATTTTTATTCAGCAACATTTTAAATATAAAAAGTACTTACTGAAGGATATTAGTGCCTGGCCCACATGAGATAGAAGGGATGCATGCACACTGAATAACCATGTTCACTTTTAGGAAATATAAATTTGCAAAACCATTTACAAATAGTGGGTCCACTAAGGCATTGCTTTTAATGGTAAAATATTGGGAAGTATGTGAATGTCCTTCATGTAAGATTGGTAATACAAATTTTAGTTTGTACAAATACTGAAATATTATATAACCAGTACAAAAATTGTCAGTGGAGTTCTATTTTGACTACTAAAGAATAGTCTTGAAGATAAATTATAAAGTGAAAAAGGAAGCAAGATGCAAAGCAGTGTGGATTATCTTATCACCAAGGTAAAATGCAATTATTATGTGCAAACATGCAAATATACACATAAAATATCTCTAGAGGGATTACGGAAAATCTGCTATTATTGGCTCCTTCTGGGACAAATCAGATGGAATTAGGGATTGAAGGGACACATACTTTTCATTGTATATTCTATCTTTTGAATTTTGTAAGGCAAGCTCATTTTTCAATAATATTTTACCTGCACAACATTATCTTGTAAAATAAGAAAATTTAAAAAAATAAATGCATATTTATTATTTTATTTTATTTTTCCATAAGTTATTGGGGTTCAGGTGGTATTTGGTTACATGAGTAAGTTTTTTAGTGGTGATTTGTGAGATATTGGTACACCCATTATCTGAGAAGCATACACTGCACCGTATTTGTAGTCTTTTATCCATTGCCCTCCTCTCACTCTTTCCCCCAAGTTCCCAAAGTCCATTATATCATTCTTATGCCTTTGCATCTTCATAGCTTAGCTCCCACATATCAGTGAGAACATGCAATGTTTGGTTTCCATTCCTGAATTACTTCACTTAAAATAACAATCCTATCCAAAAGTGGGCTAAGGATATGAATAGACAGTTCTCAAAAGAAGATATACAAATAACCAACAATCATATGAAATAATGCTCAACATCACTAAAGATCAGGGAAATGCAAATCGAAACCTTACTCCTGCAAGAATGGCCATAATCAAAAAATCAAAAACAATAGATGTTGGTGTGGATGTGGTGATCAGGGAACACTTCTACACTGCTGGTGGGAATGTAAAACTATTACAGCCACTATGGAAAACAGTGCGGAGATTCCTTAAAGAACAAAAAGCAGAACTACCATTTAATCCAGCAATCCCACTACTGGATATCTACCCAGAGGAAAAGAAGCCATTATTCGAAAAATATACTTGTACATGGATGTTTATAGCAGCACAATTCACAATTGCAAAATTGTGGAGCCAATCCAAATGCCCATCAATCAATGAGTAGATAAAGAAACTGTGGTATATATATATATATATATATATATATATATATATATATATATACATATATAAAAATATACAGTGGAATATTAGTCAGCCATAAAAAGGAATGAACCAACAGCATTTGCAGTGACCCGGATGAGATTAGAGACTAATCTCTTCTAGGTGAAGAAAGCTTATTTTATCTATTCAGAAATGAAAAAGAAAATATAAGGTAGAATATTAATAGTGATAATAATTAAAGGAATATGAATTTGGCAGTCAGTTAATCAAATTGCTCATTGATTCTAGGAACTACATCATCCAGCTCAATGAGGAGTCTAAGACCTGAGTACTAGAATGCATAAAATTTACATCCTATGCTTTCTTTCATTTTGGCCTTATTTTTCAATCCCTTAAATTTGTTTTGAGACAAATGCATGCACATTTCTGTGCTCTTTAAAATCTCAACAAGAATAGCTTCTACTGCCTATCTCTGAATTACAGTTATAAGGTGTTAGAAGCACAAATTACCAAACATTAAGTTTAAGCACTGGTGAGAGGGATTGTGCCATCCTTGTACATTCAATGGTGGTATCTTTGTGGTAGGCTCAGATAAAATGGACAATGTGCCTTTCCAGAACTCAACACTCTGATAGGGGATGATAGACTCAGACACATAGAGAACTGATGTTGGCCCTTAATCATTAGAATCTAAGTAGATTCAGTTATAGTAAGCAGTGGCAGATCACTAGGCCTGACCAGAGAGAATTCTGAAGATGGTTAGTAGGATGGGGCATCCATAGGGTCAAATGAAATTGAGAGAAAACAAGTGAAATCAGTGCTGTTTAACAAGAGGTTAAGAGGTAGCCCTCATAACAAATCACATCCATAGCCTTGATCTGAGCTAATTTCAGACCCTGAACTTATCAGCTGGAATGGAGGGCAGGGCCACAGGAAAAGAATACTGCAATTCCAGGACATGAACAAGTGATAATTTTTCCTCAGTTCTACTCCTAGGAAATCTCTGTGTCCATTTATTAGCTACCTGTGTACTAGGGAAACAAGAATGCCTAAAATGTTTAAGGACTCTTGGAATCCAAATTACTCATGGTACTGAAGGTCATCATAAAGTACATGTTAAAATAGAAAAGGCATACAAGTAATATATACAGTTGTGGCCCAGGTGCAACCTACTGGAATATTGTATTTGTTTTAAAGGATAAAATTAATTTACAAACAGTGTATTAGTCTGTTCTCATGCTGCTATAAAGAACTGTAAGGGACTGGGTAATTTACGTAGGAAAGAGATGTAATTGACTCACAGTTCTGTGTGACTCGGGAAGCATCCAGAAACTTACAATCATGGCTGAAGGGGAAGCAAGCATGTTCTTCCTCACATGGCAGCGGGAGAGAGAAGTGCCGAGCAAAGTGGAAAAAGTCCCTTATAAAACCATCAGATCTTATGAGAACTCACCGCCATGTGTCATGGGCCCCTCCCATGACACATGGAGACGATAGTAACTACAATTCAAGGTGAGATTTGAGTGGGGACACAGACAAAATGTCATTTCACCCGATTCCTCCAAAATATAATGTACTCACATTTCAGAACACAGTCATGCCTTTCTAACAGTCCTCCAAAGTCTTAACTCATTCCGTCATTAACCCAAAAGTCCAAGTCTAAGGTATCATCTGAGACATTGTAAGTCCTTTCCATCTATGAACCTACAAAATCAAAAGCAAGTTAGTTACCTCTCAGATACAATGGGGATACAAGTATTGGGAAAATACACCCATTCCAAAAGAGAGAAATTGGCCAAAATGAAGGGGCTAGAGGACCTACACAAGTCTGAAATCCAACGGGGCAGTTGCCAAACCTTAAAGTCTCAAAATGATGTCCTTTGACACCATGTATTACATTCAGGTCATGCTGATGCAAGAGGTGGGCACCTACAGCCTTTGGCAGCTCCGTCTCTGTGGCTTTGCAGGATGCAACCACCCTCTTGGCTGCTTTTATAACCTGGCATTGAGTGTCTGCAGCCTTTCCAGGTACATAGTGCAAGCTGTTGGTAGATCTACATTCTGGGGTCTGAAGGTCAGTGACCATCCTTTCTCAGCTCCACTAGGCAGTGCCCCAGGAGGGACTCTGTGTGGGGACTCCAATCCTGTATCTCCCTTCCTCACTGCCCTAGCAGAGGTTCTTTATGAGGACTCAATACCTGCAGCAAACTTCTGCCTCGCCATCCAGCTATTTCCATATATTCTTTGAAATCTAGACAGAGGTTCCCAAACTTCAATTCTTGACTTTTTTGTGCCCCCAGGCTCAACACTTCATGTAAGCCCCACCAAGGCTTGGGGTTTGTACCTTGTGAAATAATAGCCTGAGCTGTACCTTGGCTCCCTTTTAACTATGGCTGAAGCTGAAGCAGCTGAGACTCAGGGCACCATGTCCCAAGGTCGCACAGAGCAGGGGGTGCCTGGGCCCAGCACATGAAACCATATTTCCCTCCTAAGCCTCTGGACCTGTGATGAGAGGGCTGCTGTGAAGGTCCCTGACATGCCCTGAAGACATTTTCCCCATTGTATTGGTGATTAACATTTGACTTCTCATTACTTATACATATTTTTATAGCCAGCTTGAATTTCTCCCCAGAAAATAGGTTTTTCTTTTCTATCACATCACCAGGCTGTAAACTTTCTAAACTTTTATGCTCTGATTCCTCTTGAATGTTTTGCCACTTAGAAATTTCTTCCACTAGATATCTTAAATAATCGCTCTCAAGTTCAAAGTTCCACAAATTTCTAGGGCAGAGGCAAAATGTCATTAGTCTCTTTGCTAAACCATAGCAAAAATCACCATTATTCCAGTTCCCAAATTTCTCATCTCTATCTATATTAGTCCATTTTCATGTTGCTGATAAATTCATACCTGAGACTGGGTAATTTATAAATAAAAAGAAGTTTAATGAATTCACAGTTCCATGTGGCTGGGGAGGACTCACAATCACAGTGGAAGGCAAAAGGCACATCTTACATGGTGGCAGACAAGAAAGAAGTGAGAGGCAAGTGAAAGGAGCTTGCCCTTATAAAACCATCAGATCTCATGAGACTTATTTACTATTATGAGAACAGTATGGGGGAAATCAGCCCCATGATTCAATTATCTTTGACTGGGTCCCTCCCACGACACATAGGAATTATGGGAGCCACAATTCAAGATAAGATTTGGGCAGGGAAAGAGCCAACCTATATCACCATCTGAGACCACCCATCCTGGACTTCATTACTGATATCACTATCAACATTTTGGTCAACTCCACTCAGTGAATCTCTAGGAAGTTCCAACCTTTCCCTTATCTTGTTGTCTTCTGAGTCCTGCAAGTCTCCAGAAAGTTACAACCTTTCCCACATCTTCCTGTCTTCTTCTGAGCCCTCCAAACTGTTTCAGTCTCTGCCTGTTACCCAGTTACAATGTCACCTCCATATTTTCAGGCGTCTTTCCAGCAACACTCCACTCTCTGCAGTACCAGTTTACTTTAGTAGTCCATTCTCACACTGCTATAAAGAGCTGCCCGTGACTGGGTAATTTATAAAGAAAAGAGATTCAATTGACTCATAGATCCACATGGCTGGAGAAGCCTCAGGAGACTCATAATCTTGGCAGAAGGGGAAACAACACATCCTTCCTCACATGACAGCAGGAGAGAAAAGTTGCCCCTAGCGTTTATTCCTTCATTTCAACCCTGTGAATCTGATGATTATGTTCCTTGGGGTTGCTCTTCTTGAGGAATATCTCTATGGATTTTTTTTTTTTTTTTTTTTTTTATGTACTTGAATGTAGGCCTGCTTTGCTATGTTGGGGAAGTTCTCCTGGATAATAACCTGAAGAGTGTTTCCAGCTTGAATTCATTTTCCCTGTCCTCTTCAGGTATATCAAATCAAGCATAGATTAGGTCTTTTCACATAATCCCATATTTTTTGGAGGCTTTGTTCATTTCTTTTCATTTTTTTCTCTTTCCTTGCCTTCTTTTATTTCATTGAGTTGATCTTCAATCTCTGATATCCTTTCTTCTGTTTGATCAATTCGGCTATTGAAACTTGTGTATGCTTTACAAAGTTCTTGTGTTGAGTTTTTCAGCTCCATCAAGTCATTTATGTTCTTCTCTAGGCTGGCTATTCTAGTTAACATTTCCTCTAATCTTTTTTCAAGGTTCTTTGTTTCTTTCCATTGGAT